GCTCACATGGCTTCCATTTGGCCAGCCACCTTATTCAGAGGGTCTAATGTCTAATCTTTGAGGCTGGAAGAAGCACCACACATTATGTTTAATTCAATCATTCTTGAAATAGTAATGGTGATGGCATCCGTGTCCATGGGCTCCAAGTTTTTTTTTTCTTTACTTATTTTACATCCAAGCTGTAGTTTCCCCTCCCTCTTATCCATCTAGTCCTCTTTTCCTACACACCCCCTCTATTCCCACCCCCCAATCCACTCCTCCTCCATTTCTGTTCAGGAAAGGGCAGGTCTCCCATGGATGTCAACAAAACGTGATGTATCAAGTAGCTGCAAGATTAAGCACCTCTCCATGTGTTAAGGCTGGGCAAGGTAACCCAGTATGAGGAGTAGGGTCTCCAAAGCCAGTAAGAGTCAGAGATAGCCCATGCTCCCACTGTTAGGCTGGTTGTTGGTTCAGTCTCTGTGACTTCCTATGAGACCAGGTTAGTTTATTCTGTGTATTTGTTCTTTTGTGGTGTCCTTAACCCCTATGGATCCTACAATCTTTTCTCTCCCTCTTCTGCAGGATTCACTGAACTCTGCCTAATGTTTGACTGCATGTCTTTGCATCTGCTCCCATCAGTTGCTGGATGAAGCCTCTCCGATGACAAATGGGCTAGGCACCAATCTGTGAGTATAGCAGAATATCGTTAGGCATCATCACCATCTAAGTTAGGATTTCTATTGCTGTGAAGAGACACTATGACCAGGGCAACTCTTATAAAGAAAACATTTAATTGAGGTGGTGGCTTGCAGTTGCAGAGGTTCAATCCATTATCATCATGGCAGGACATAGAGGCTTCCAGGCAGACATAATGCTGGTGTTGAGAGTGCTACATCTTGCAGGCAACAGGAAGTCAACTGAGTGTCATACTGAGTGAAGGTAGAGCAAATAAGACCTCAAAGCCCACCCCCACAGTGACACATTTTCTCCAACAAGACCACATCTCCACATCTACTCCAACAAGGCCATACCTCCTAATAGTGCTACTCCCTATGAGATTATGGGGGCCAATTACATTGACTTTTTTTTTTGTCCAGTCTTGTTTGGTTCTATCCTATGTCTCTGGGTGATCCAGCCTGTGGATCCTGGTGCTCCAGGCAGTGGCAGGGGTGGGCTTACTCTCCTGGCATAGGTTTTAGACTAGCCCAGTCATTGGTTGGCCACTCCCTTAATCTCTAGGCCACTCTTACCCCAGCACATCCCATAGTCTGGACAGACTGTAGGTCAAAGGTTACATGGCCTGGTTGGAAGGTTACACCCTGCACTGGAAGTCTTGCCTGGTCACAGGAGAGTTCAGGCTATGTATCTGCTCTTGCTAGGAGTCTTAGCTGGGGTCACCCTTGTAGATTCCTGGGAGAATTCCAGGTTTTTACCTGACCCTGATATGCCCCGCCCCAGTCGTCTCAGTACTCTCCTCTACCATCCCCCCCCCACCTGACCTCTTGTGCTCCCATCTCCACTTGTCCATAGTCCACTCACGAAATCGCTTCCCCTTCCCCTTTGCAGGGAGACCCAGGCTCCCAGCTCTTTTTTGTCAGGTGGAGACTTTTAAGGCAAATGGACAGTATCCACAGAAAGTACATTTTAAGCCTCAAGTGAGTAGCAGCAGCAGGTGGTGTGGCTTAAAGATAGTGCCAATGGGTGGCTTCATGGTTCAAGCAGGGGTCAAGGCCACAGGATCTAAGAGCAACACTACAAAGCAAAGCTGGTCTCTGTGCCCAGGCACCACCTGCAGCTCTGACTCATGGGAATCAAGAGGGAGCTGGAATGTGACTCACCTGTCACAGACAAAAGCTGGCTCCCAGGTACCTCAGGCACCACCAGCCGAGGCTGCCTGCGTGGCTTGTCTGCTTTACCTCTGAAGTTGAATATCCTCACAGAAGTTAGTACTACTTAAGACAAAACCACTTTTTAATATTGCTGGCTAGGAATCTTGGGACTGAGAGGCTGATTTAGGGTCACATGGCAAGTTCCAAGAACCTGAAAGCAGTTAGTACAGAGACGATATCCTCGGGGTGATTCTCTGAGCCTGCTATTGAAAGGGAGTGGCGTGGTGCTCACACAATCCTGGCCCTTAGTCTGGACATAATGGCTGAGCCTGAGGTTGTATTTGAGAATCTAAGACAGCTGATGCCTCAGAGTTTCTCTACAGTTTTCTGTCATTCCTACTGGGCAACTAGCTTCTAAATCTTAAAACCTTCACATTTTAGAGACACAGACCAATGATGCTGATGATAAGGAACTCCTGTTCTCGGGGCTGTTTTTTTTTTTTTGTTTGTTTTTTCCTTCAAAGAATGACTATGTTCTTCCATAGTCCTTTGAGAAACTTTCTATAAATGGATTAGAGCGGCATATGCACAGGCTCACTCCACCATTGTCCAATCTGACAGAGTGTAGTCAAGAAACAGGACAAACAAATCTTACATTAAAAATATGACAAACAGATCACTGGATGACAATTATTCGTTATGCTGTTTAAACTGCACCGGCAGCTGAAATTACTTAAGAACCAATTTTGGCTTATGTCTTTTTGCTGATTTCACTTCCTCTTGAATTCTACAATCTGGGGCTTCTCAGTTTTTTTTTTCTCCCCTGTCATAAAATAACAGTTTCAGAAAAGCCAGAGAGTAAAGGTCATGACTGGTGATCTCTAGCCAGGTTATGGGGCCTTCTAACTGGAAGAGCTCAGTTTGGCTGTCTGCAGGTTTGTCCTTTAAATCCTACCCGAGGGAGCTTGGGGAGTAAGGCACCTGAACTCCAGGGCCACCCTGTCACTAGCCACTCCACTGGCCACCCCTCCCCCCCTTTGCAAACCTGAGTCAGGGCTTCTAAAATGCTGTGTTTCTTCCGGCTCTTCCTTCCAGGTCTGGCTGGTAGCTTTCTCTTTTCCTGCATTGTTGGCCACTGAGGCCTGATTTCAGGCATAACAAGATGGGTTAGACAAGATGCAAAGCTGACAGGTTCAGCCCATTTGTACTCATGCTGCCTGGGTACAACGGGAGAGGACAGGAGTGCATGGGTCCCCCTCTGCTCCTGGACGCTGGCTCACTTCCACCAGTGGGAGAAGGGATGCTGTTAGTGCAACAGTTTTTTTCTTCACTTGAAAAATATATTGTGAGTACCTACTTTTGCACATGACAGTTCTTTCTCTTCATTTGAAAAATCGCCTAGAGTTTACCTTAGCAATTGCTCAGTTAGGGTTTCTATGGTTCTGCTAAACACCACACCCAGAAGCGTCTTGCGGAGTAAGGGGTTTATCTTGCTTATACTTCCACGTCAGAGTCCATCACGGAAGGAAGTCAGGGCAGGAATGCAAGCACGGAAGAAACCTGGAGATGGAGCTGATAACGAGGTCGTGAAGGAGTACCGCTCACTGGCTTGCTCAGCCTCCTGTTATACCACCCCGGAGCACTGGCCCAGGGGTGGAACTGTACAGTGAGCTGGACCCTCCCCTATCAATCCCAATCAATAAAGAAAATTGCCCACAGGCAAATGTGGTGGGTGCATTTTCACAACTGAAGTTCCCGCTCTTAAAATGACTACAGCTTGTGTCAAGCTGGCACAAAGCTGGCACAGCGCTTCTTACCTGCCAGAATGGTTACATACAAGCTTAACACTGTGTCTTTCTTAGAGAACAAAGCTATCACTTCCAAATGCCGCCTGCTATGTTAGCTGAATCATGTTATTGAGGTGACACTAAATTCTGTAACCAAGTTCACGGCTAATTTGAACTCTTTTGTGACTTAGGGCTTGGAAGGCGAGAGTGTGGCACCATGGATGGACCTCGAGGTTTTGGGCAACACCAACCACGCCTCTTCTCTCTGATTTTGGAAAATGGGGGGAGTGTCTTCTCACATTGCAGCTGGCAGTGGGACAGCAAACACAGGCCTGGGACTGTGACCTGCACTACTACTGACAATCGACAGCACAGGCAGGGGTTTAGACACAAGGGCTGTCCCCAGCCTCGGACAAGAGACTTTGCTCACGGGGGGCATGCTGCAGGCAGCACCAGCTCGAGAGGTAGTGGTGGAGGCTTGTTCGCATCTGTACACAGTAGATGCTCAATAAATGCCTCTGACTCAAGCAGGAAAACGAAGCACAGCATTCATTTTTTGAAAAAATTTTATTAAAAAATTAGAGTGTGGAAAAAAAAGGCAAAAATAAAACAACAACAAAAAAACCCAAACCCACACAACTGACACATGCCTTTAAACAGCAAGCGCGTGAGACTGGTTATAAAGCTTTCCCAACTACGGCTCTAGTCTTTCACATCAGCTACCGTCAAGGAGGGCTTCCAGGGGAAGCCATGTGTAAACAGGTCATCCACACTATGGTGAGCTAGAACTAACTATGTGAGAACTCTCAACTCAAGGCATGAGAGCAACCAAGCTTCAGACGTGCGTCCACAGGGATCTCGAGTTCTGGTTTCAATGTGGTGTGTGCAGAGGCTGTGGGAACAAACAGTAGAGACCAACATATCAGTAGAGTATCAGCTTTACGTAAGCACCTTCAGATCCCGGGCCCTTCCCCACAATTCACGTAGGCAATCCTCAAACTCTGACAAGATGAGAGCCACCTTCATGGATTCTCTAAATCTGTGCTGGAGATGAGTGCCACAGGTGATTCTGTGAAAACTGGTCAGCCACCCAGTCTGAAAGACAGCAAAGCAAATCCTACCTCCCCGAAAGAAAAGGAATCTCACGAAAGGCCCCGTGCTTCTGTCAGCTCAGGATGAGTTGGTGGGAGCAGCCCTGAGCAATCTGTCAAGAGCTGTTCAGGAAGTAAATAGAACAGAGTGGATTGGAGATCAAAGAACAGCCTCCAAATCGCTAACAGGCCAACCCCATTATCACAGTCCAGTGAACTTTGTTTCATCAGTGCCAGACAGGAAGCTGCCGGATAGACAAAACATAGGACAGTTGTGGGTCTTGACTTGGGAAGACATACTGAATAAAACATCTATTAAAAAAAACTTTATTAAACAGAGCGCTATGCCCAAGTAACTTCTCAGGTTTATGAAAGCCTCCTGGAACCTCACTGACAGCATGTAGAAATTGTTACATTGATCCCAAGGTTCCCATTATCTGCAAAGAGATGTGCTATGGCTGTGTCAAAAACGAGGCAGTCGCTGTTCATGATGGCTGCGGCCACACCATCGTGAATGGACCGGGGTGTGGCTTCCCAGGTCAGTCTCCGCCGGTTCCCATTCAACTCCAGTCTGTATGCAAAGTTCTCAGCTTGCTTGCGGGTGCCGATGAGCAGGACGATGGCAAAGAACTGCTGGTGACCTTCGTACTTCTCTTGTTTCTCAAGTACCAGCATGAAGTGGTGACCAAAGCAAGACTGCATCATCACCCAGTCCACAGCCCCTGGCAGGTTAATGTCTGTAGCTAGAAAGACTATGTCCTCTCCCTGAAGGGTGGTGATACTCTTGTGGGCATGCATGAGATGGGACATCACAGCTTCCAGGGACCCCTGCCACTTGCAGGAGGCACCAGGACAGGGGCAGGAATAGGGACGGTATTCACAGATGTCTTCATGCTCTGGTTTCTCTGTATGGTGGAGAGTCAGGGAACAGCCTGTGGTAGCATACTGCAGAGACAGAAAGAAACATACTGCATCATGGCTCCTTCTCAAAACCTCCTTGGTGCCAATATCTTTGCATACCTACCCACACAAGTTTCCTGGGCTCAAATTCTATCTTTAGCTCAACTACTTTTGTTCAAGGAGAGTCAAGTGTTTAAGACAAGTCCCAGTTTCTACTCACTGTCAATAGCATCATGCATGAAGTCAGGGCACTGCTTTCTAGACACTCCCATCCCAACAACAGTGAAAGATGAGAATTAAATTTCCTGTAAGTACATCAAAGAAGCAAAACTATTGAGATAACTTGGCCCTTTTCTCATTTCCTGTAGCCCCTGACTCTTTTTAAGAATTGAGAGTGGGGTGGGCAAGGACTCATGGATCATCTCTAGGCTTTTCCTGCAAATAGACGACTCTGAAGATAGTCTAGTCTCATTCTACTCCTTCCCGACTTTGAGCGATGACAGGTCATCTAGTCAGTGGGAAAAGGCTCCCTTGTGGTCCCCTGTTCTTGACTGCCAGTGTGGCCAAGCCCAGGTGCAGGAGGAGGAGGCTGGGATCCTGTCACATCTTGCTGTCTCCTTTGTACTTGCTGCACTACAAGTGCTATGCCTACAAGTCTTCATTTTGTTTTTAAAGGAATCGCATTCAAAACTGGCATCTTGGCTATTATCTTAGCAGAGGTTAGGGTGAAATGGATCATATCTCTTCTTAAAGCCTACTGAGTTTTCCTGAAAAGGGGGGGGAGGTATGATATAGGAATAAGAGAGGGAAAAGGGTAGATTATTGAATTTACTTTAATCCAAAAAAAAAATAGCTATTAATCTCAAAACATTTTACATTGGTATGGATTTTAGTTTATTGATACAAATTTAAAGTTATTTCTGTTATACTATATGTTTCTATTCTTATTTAGGGTATTGTGCTTATGCAGCTCATTTAAAAATGCAATATATAATTAAGAAATACAGATTAATAGTCATCTGTAATAATCAAACTTATAGTCATGTTAGGTATGTTTTCAAGGTGATATAGTTAGATAGATGGTCTTCAAACACTTCAAAGACCTACAGAACATGGCATTTAATATGTTTAATAACCTAAGGCTTTTCATGACAGTGAGACATGTCTGCTCCTAGCATCACCAATTTACTTCAATGAAGATAGATGATGGGCATCAAAAGAACCCCGTATGGAGTTTGTTTTCTTTATGGCAAAAGCTAGCCATGTGGGCAAAGAAACTGCCCTTGCCTCAATTGCTGACAGTTACTGTCCAAATTGGACAAACGGAGAAAAAAAAATTGACTGCAAAACTTTGCCAAGACAAGGTAGGACAGTCCTTCAAAATTCCCTGCTTCTCAAAAGAGTCTGTCAGATATTCTAAGCCTATAGGCTGAAGACAGATGCCCCAACGTTACAGAGGAACCTGGGGTGACTGTCCAGGCAGCCAGCTATTTCTGTCATTTCTTAGTTTTAGAAATTGTTTGCTCTGCACTTCCTGTTTACTCAGATAATATTATATCCTTTAAGGTCTCTGATGGAGTTAAAGACTAGACAGATATAGTTATAGGTTTTTCTTGTTACCAAATTCAGAAAGAAACTCACAAAAGAGGTATAATGTGTATAAGATTGAGAGACATAAAAAGATAGTTTTGGGTTGGTAGTGCAAGTTAAAATAGAAAGTGAATTAGGCACAACACTTTGGACTCACCAAGATAGGATAGATAATGGAGTATTTTCTCTGAATCTGCCAAATGCAAATGGTCTGGACATTGTTAATGTAATTCTGTATATATTGTATATAGTATGTTGTTAGTTAAAACCTTCCCTTTTTATTTAGACAAAAAGGGGGAAATGTGTTATATTTTCATTCTGAAAATAAAGCTTGCTTTGAGTCAGAGGGCAGAGCTAGCCACTAGCTGACCAAAATGAACCATAGACATTTGGAGGACTGTGAACAGAGGGGAGACAGGGAGTAGTAAGGTGGGCCTGAAAGAGGATCTCAGCCTTTTTGGAGGAAGGAACTGAAGAGGTAGGAGGTGACTGATTCAGGTTCTTATCCTAATATCTGACTCTCAATTTTTTATTGATAAAGAATAATTAGTTAAACACTTCATCCTCATGTTCAAACACCCATCTCACCCATCTCTTCCTGATGAGGTTGGTCAGGTCCTTATTGCAGGCTGGGAAAGGGGGAGCTGGATGAACTTCTAACAGTCTGCCCTTCACTGCCTTACTAGGATAGGAACATAATCTTTCTTTCCCTTCCCATTCTCAGGACATTGCCAGTAGATATGTCATGTCTATCATGACAGGAGGCCACACTAAAAGGAACTGAAGTAGATTTCTGCTCCCAACCTTTGCAAGAATGACAGTGGTAGTTCTAGTGACCAGAGGGAAGCTCAATCCACAAACAGATACCTACCCAGTACTTTGTGCTGTGGTCACAGAAAGAATTAAGAAACGGCAAGAAAATGAGGAGTTACCACCTATCTTTGGAGCACAGGTGGCAGAAAAACTGTCTGGCTTACTGCATTAGTCTCAGCCTTCCACAGAAGCAAGCAGGTACCAAAGAAATGACAGGCCATCCTTCTAAAATACTAAGATAAAAAAACAAACCAACCCATAAACTCACAGCTGATTTTGCTTCTCCCTACCCTGACTTATGAAATAACTCCCTTATAAACTTAACACAAGTCAAGTTCCAATCCTTAACGAATGTCTTTCTAGCAGCTAGGAGGGCCCGAGTGCCTTCTCTGCTGTGGGATGTCTTTCTGTATGCTGTGAATGTGTTGCTCCCATTGGTTAATAAATAAAGCTGCATTGGCCTATGGCAGGGCAAGATGGAGCCAGGTGGGAAATCCAAGAGAGACAGAGAGAAGAAAGGCAGAGTCGGGGAGACACTCCAAGCTACCTCCAGGAGAAGCAAGATGTGAGAGAACAGGTAATGCCACGAAGCCACGTGGCAAAACACAGATTAATAGGAATGGGTTGAGTTAAGTTGTAAGAGCTAGCTAGTTAGCTAGCAAGAAGCCTGAACCATAGACCAAACAGTTTGTAATTAATATTAAGCCTCTGAGTGATTTTATAAGCTACTGCAGGCTGGGCGAGATACTAGAAAACTTCCATCTACACTTTCTCCACACAGGACACCAAGCTGAAGTCTCTGAGAGAATACAGAAGCCAAGACAACAGCCTCTCCCCACAGGAAACTAAAAAAAAAAAAAAAAAAGACATTTGAAAAATACAATGCATGGGGGTGTATGAGGGGGTGTGTCTGTATGCTATTGCTCTGGTGGTTGAGACAAGAGGATTGTACATTTGGGCTCTCCCGAATTACAAAGAACTCTATTTCAAAAAACAAAAACAAAACAAACAAAAAATCAGCGCATGCTTCTACCACCTTGGCAGAAGGATTTCTATGTTTTCTGCTCTGCTGACAGGAATCGCTTGTTCTTATTTCTGAGTCAGAGACTAATTTTAAAAGTTCACATAAAGGAACTTCTTGGTCAGCAGGAGAAAGATTTATCCTTTTCTATTTACACTCTGTTCTCAGCTTTTTAAATAGTAAGAAGTTGTCCCCATGAACTGTTTTAAATCTGGGGTGTGGGCAGGACACAGAGCCTCCTGTGGACAGTGGGTAAAGGATTTCAGTCAGAGTTTGAAAAACACACATAAACACAACAAAAATAGCAAGAACTTCTCAAAGCCTGGCTCAGTTTTTGGATCCAAAGATGTCTTAGGATGGGCTGCTGCCCTCAGCTGCCCAGGATGAAGCCCAGGAACAAGGCAAAGTCTGGCCAAAGGATAGCATCTAGGACAGACAGCATGTTCCCAGCTTCTTCCCACAGTCTCAGGCTACTGCAGCCCCACAGCCAACATCTGCAGCAAGTGTCCTATCACCAATGGAGCTTGGGAATGTGCCCTGCTCTATTACTTGGTTGTCACACATCCAGCTCTTCTTCAGGGTAACTCCCCAGTCACACAGAAAGAAGAGGCATTTCATTGTACCTTGTGGGCAAGGGACCTCTGAAAAGATCCTGCTACAGGTTTTACTTAGACATGTTTGAAAGCCTTTGGAGTTTTACTCTGTTTCTTCTAAACCAGCTGAACTTCAAGACCAATCTACCTCTCATTTCATGAGGCCATTTTTATGGTAACTGAATTAAAGACGATCTCCAAGGGAAAAACTTTGTGTGTGTGTGGTGCCTGCTCATCCATGCTATATATGCTACCCCCTCGACAACATTGTGGCTCAATAATCTAGGGCCATTTGAAGCAAATGATTCTCTCCCTGACATTTGAGGTGAGAGGGCTTTCCATTTACAGGTCTGGTTTTTTCCTGTATGCAAGCGCTTCTGAGCGGAGTCCCTGGGCTCCTTCGCAGAGAGGCCTGTGTGTCCTGGGATACACCCATAGCTATAAATGAGGGTTCTCCTTTGGGAAAGATGTGCTCGTTTCCCCAAAGGGCGGGGTTATTTTTAAGTAACCCTCTCTGAAGAAGGAAGAAAGCAAGGTGCACAGAAAAATAACGGAGGTGGGGGAGGACCAACTCCAACTCAAAGTTAAAGACTTGGGGAGGAGCAGAAGGAGAAACAAAGTGTGGCCATCATACCTAGGACCTGGCTGTGTAGCAGCCTGTCAGGGGCTGCCATGGGAAGGTCTTGTGCAAACACGTCCTGCCATGGAAAGGCTGCGTGTAACCTGCTGCTTTGTGTTTAAGTCTTTGTAGAAAGCGGTAAATAGTTCCCATTCTCTCCTTAGCAAGAGGTTTAAAGACTGTATTTAAGGTGGAATTTAGGCAGGGTTTCCCTTTTTGGCACAGAAACCCTTTCATATACAAATACAAAACCTATTCATACACAAGTTGGTATAATGAGACACCAGGGCATACAGAACACGACATCATTTATTTACCTAGTAAACAGTAACACCATTTGTTTATAAAAGGAGGTTCTAAGCTAAATACGCTCTCTCATCCAGATTGCTAATGAAGGTTGTGTGTTCTG